GCCTCCAAAGAGTCAACCAATGGTTCTAGTTTAAACAGAGTACATTTTAGAATCAGACTAAACTATGCCTAAAATCGATTTCAGCTAACATTACAGTTGTAACATGACAATGATGCTGGGTTTTTCAAAAGACATATTGTACACGTTTATATACCACTTCAAGCCATAATGTTTTGTGAAGTAAATGACTTGTCTTATTTGTCTATTGACTGCAGATAATATGAAAAGGTGTGACGGATGAAATCCCTCCAAATAAGGTTTTCTGAAGTTTCATCTCTTCTCTATCACTCTCTGTTTTCATACATTTCTACATTTTCAATGATTCAACTCAATTCTTGGCTAAATATGGGTTACTGAAAATGCTTCCAAAATGGTAAAAACTCAGCAATGACTGATTTACATATGAAGCGTTCTCTAGTAATCCTGCTATTCACACTGTGTCCTGTACAAATGTAATGCTTTTACTACAAGATAATGAAGCCCATGAAGTCTCCTCTCCTTTCCAGTATAACACAGTACAAAGAGTGTTTCAGTACATCATATTATTACAGTCCACAATACAAAGGAAAGACTGAGCAGGTTATGACATGATATGCAACAACTGATGCTATACACGGTTTTACTCTTCTATTACAAATTGCACAATGTTATCACTTGAATAGTTATTAAGGATTCCTTACAAAAAACATAAAGGAAACCTTTTTTATCCTTTTTTCTTCCATGTGTTTATTCGTTCAGGTTCTACACTGCTCTGATGTAGCAAGGAGCAACAAAACGAAGCCAATGGTACCTGTTGGGGAAATATTTTCCAAGGTCCATAACTTTAACCCAGTTTATCAGTTCATACTGTCCTAACTGAGCACAGGCACCTGTAACCTTGGCTGCTGTGCTCTCAGTGCTTTGTCTCCCTGTTCCTGCCTGTTGGCGTCAGCTGATAGAGGTGTTATGATTCTATCTTGTTATGCACAATGTTGATTATTCTCTCTGAACTAGCTAAATACATGGGTCTGGGGTAGAGTTCTTCAGAATTGACGTGGCAACTCTACCGTGAAGTCAGAACCTCTGGCTCTTGGACTTGTTTTGTGAATTCTCCGGCCGAAGCTCCTAATAAACCATCAGTGTTTGACATCAAAGCTCCAGCTCTACCCCGTGTCTCCTTCCTGAGTCGGTGACTCCCACTGCATTGCTACACAGAAGTTTTCCCCCACAGTACCTATGGAATCTAGATACCATAAATGATCTGACAGTAGAGGATAAATATATTATATCACATATAGCCTTCCAATAATAATTTCAATATGCCATGTCCTTGTCATGTTCAATGTGTCAACAACAACAAATAATATGATTCTATAGGCTCAGACTAAGAAGTTGTGGAAAGCACAAATCCATTATACTACATCTTGTTATGTTAATGTCTGGTCAGTGCGTCAATTTTCTATACATGATTTGACCCAGGCCCATTTGCTAGTTTCTTCCACTTATCTGTGAAGCATAGTGAGCCAGTGGATGAACTCTGACACACTGCATGGCTAAAGAACAGTACAACTACAAAGTGAGGACTTAATCTGGCGGCAAAAATCACAGTGACTTTCTGAGTGTGACTAATCAGGAATACACACTTCACTCTCTCTCTCTCTCTCTCTCTCTCTCTCTAACACACATGTGCAGAATCCATACCAACGACCCTCATAAAGCAGAGGACCATTGCAATGCAGCACACGATGCAGAGAGGGCCAAGAGGCAAGTTGACCCCCCCCCCTAACTGCTGCATGCTGATCATTAGAGGAAGAGAGAGAAAGAGGGAGATGGACGAGGTAGTGGTGCCAGATCCCCTGCTGCTCAATCACGTTTAATGCCTGGACAGTTCAAGATAAAAATGTCTGCTGGCCACTGATGTTAATATTACAGAAATAAAGGCAACTCTGTGATAGGGTGGCACAGGTTTTCAGTAGACAGCAAAAAACGGTTGATGAGGAAAACACCTCTCTCCCCGGTTTATAGCTCTTTAACTTTCCATCTTCAATCTTTTCTCTCTTTGATATACATCTATTCGCCTATCTATCTCTCCCCATTTCGCTCCTTTTCCGTCATTCCATCTTTGGCAGCAACAAAGAGATTAAAGAGGGATTACTTCTGACATGTCAATGTAATGTGCTGCTGGGTATGGTATTTGTTCCTTCTCATGCAGTCCTAAGTCAATATGACGCACACACAGACAGGTCAGCTTTGCGAGAGTGGGATGGAAGAAAGTTAGGGATACAGTATGAACCGTTATTGCAGAATATAAAATGTTGACATGCATAATGCTCTGTATTTCCATACCCAGGTATATCTGCTGTTTTCAAGCTTTTCTGAGAGAGAAGACTGAATGAGAAAAGAGAAGGTTTGTTTTGGGGTGATAGCCCTTGTTGTGATTCAAAGTACTTGAGGCTAGCCAGGAAATGAACTATTGATTAGAAAAAGGGTGTAGTGGAGAAAGAGTGAGGAAAAAAAGACAATAACTGAAATCACACCAACCAACCAACCACCACCCACACTGATCCTTTGTCCTCTCATTCGCTTTCACACACACTTACATAGACTTGTAATAAACCAGGAATACATTCAGCCAACCAGTAAACTACCCATTGCTTTTACTGTCTATTCTAATAATTGTAAACCACTTACTGGCCTAATTCACACTACAGGGTCAAGGAGGAATAGCTCTTCTTTCTCCTGTCGCTAAATTTGCTCCTCAAACATGCAGTATAATTGGGATTTGTATTGATTGGTTTGTTAACTGGAGGTGATTTGAGAGCCCCTACTTCGGTTTATTACACATCTTCTGCATAGCTTTATTTCAAATACTGGTCTATATCATGAACAAGAAGAGCCAGTGAGACGCTATGTCTGAAAACTATCGTCCCAGTTAGCCTGGATTTAAAAAAAAAAAAAAAAGAGACAGTCAGTCAGTGTAGAGAACCTTGACCCAGTTCCAGTAGCTGACAGAAACCTAGTTAGCCTTTACAGCTGAATGTCCCTGTCTTGTTCTTGCTAAGCCTAAAGATGTCCCACTGCTAACACTCCTATCTAAAGACACTAACAGTCAGTGAGCTGGTAAAGTTTTAGTGTCTTGCTGTGAGACACTTCCAGAACATGTGGCAGCTGATGTGATCAAACCATCCAGTCACAGGATGATCTATCTAACAAGTGGATTACACTGCCACCCCTGTAGGGCCAGCACCACAGCTTACAAGCCTGTATGAAAGATGAGGCTTCTGCACATGTGTGACTTTAATCATATTCCACCAGCCTTCCTACTGTACTGCACTAAGATTTATGTAAAACCTTATACAAAAATATTCAAACAAAATGTCAATACAACTGGGAAGCCAGTTTGTCTATTAGTATGTAAAAGGAATCCTATGTTTAGTTTACAAAATGAGAGCAATCAACCTGGTTTGATATGCATTACTGCATGTTTCATGTTCTGCACATGACATAATACACAGTCATTATGTTCCTGCTGACCTGATTAACTCATTCATGTGGCCTTGCTACTGTTGTAAGTCTGATATGGAGCACCAGCTTGGTCTACAGGCCAGAGAAGACCACAAACTAATCCAGCTCTTGGCAAATGGTGTGAAGGTAGCCACTAAATTGGCCTGGGATATGCTCTGTATATCATCTGGCCTAACTGGATAAAACGGGGCCAGTCCTTCCTCCCTGGCAGCAACATGCAGTGGGTTGAATTGGTCGCTCATAATGTGTACCATGTGTGAGCCTGGATGTGTGCGAATGTGTCTCTGTTCAAATATGGATGTGATCTTGGCAATGTGCATGATGTGGTCAAAAAACTGTTAACATAGACAGGTGCTTATCTTTCCCGCTGGGGTGTGTGTGTGTGTGTGTGTGTGTGTGTGTGTGTGTGTGTGTGTGTGTGTGTGTGTGTGTGTGTGTGTGTGTGTGTGTGTGTGTGTGTGTGTGTGTGTGTGTGTGTGTGTGTGTGTGTGTGTGTGTGTGGTCATCACTCTCACTCATTCACCTACACACTGCTCTGTCTCTGGTTTATTGCCCATTGGAGGCCACCGAGCTGTGCAACGATTACGTGAGCCCACCACCACCTCGCGTCCTCATCTCATCCTGCAAGACACGCTCACCAACGTCATCTCTCTCTCTCTCTCTCTCTCGCTCTCCATCTCCCCCCCCCCCCCCCCCCCCCCCCCCCTCTCCTTTAGTCAGAGCGGGAGGCACTGTTAAATTGCCTGAAAGAATACGCTCCCTAATGTCGAAATCACACTCAACACAACAGTGCCATATATAACCGGTGGTGGTGGAAGGCGGAAAAGACGTTGGGACATAACACGTTTTTTTTCTTTCTCTCCTGGCACTGCAGTGGCTCACCTCACGAGTCACGATGGAAAGGTGGTAATGCCATTGTGTATCAGGGAAAAAGTAGAGATTGTGCTGCTATCCTAGGTAATCCCTCTGCCATGCAGAGCAACATCACGCAATCTGAAACCACCTGTTTTCTCGCATCCTGCAGCACACAGCCATTATTGTATGTGAAATTCAAGGGAAACATTGCACATCCACCTCTATTGATCGGTCCAGATGGAGATTAATCATAATGACTTTAAAGCAATTGGAACATTTAAGTGTATACGATGATGCTCAATAAGTCCCCAACTTGATTGTAAACTAAATGTGCATGACGTCCGTAATTGTGCAAAAATAAGATATGTATTTTATCAGTCGGATAGTCCTGTATAAGAAGTGGATGTCCCAAAAAATCCACTTTGAAACACGTTTCATGTATGGTATCAACATCACGAATGCAGTCTACATTCATAGCAAAGCAAACTAATTACCACAGGACGTCAACAAAATATCCAGCAATGTTGTGATTGAAGCAGAGCAGCGCACATCGAGACTTAAAGCCCTTAATCCGTTTCCTGAGAGACGCAGAGAGCCCTATTGTGGCCGTGAATTAGAGGGGGGAAAGCGCAGTAACTCACCAATGTGGATGATTGAATCCGAGAGCGCCGACTTCCACTCCTGGCTCCAAACAACGGCAACAAGCAGCATAGCAGTGATAACTTTCATGTTGTCCAGAAATATTTCATCCAAAACCAGAAAAAACGACAGCTCTCTGAGTGAGAGCGAACAGAGTTAAAATCCCGAAAACCGAAGCTTTTTTTAGTCCATCTGTAGGGCGGTCAAGGAAATTCCCTGTAATGTCTTCCTTGATATATTATTCTCTTGACGTGAGAGCGTGATGCTTGTCTGCAGAGGGAAATAAGAGGAGATTCCCGGGTAGTCTCAGACTGGCACCCTGTTGAAATTCCTACAAACATTAAATCATATTCTGGGCGAGCGGAGAGACGCTGAGCCGCAGAGAAAACACACCGTATCCGAACGTCGCCGGGTTTAACAAGAACTGAAGGACTGCAGGATGTTGCCGTTCGTTTAAATGACAGTTATAATTCAAAAATATGAATGAAAGCCTAGTTGTCTTGAAAAAGCGGGTTCTGTTTTAATGACCCGTGATTCCCAGCCGTTCAGACTTGGCGTCGCAGTTTCCCCCCTGCACCAATCACCAAACCACCAGCAGCAGCAGCAGCAGCCTCAGCGGACCAAGCCAACGGCCAAAACTTCCATTTTGCCCAGGGGCTTTCTATTTTTCATCCACTTGGCCCCTGTTTAAATATAACCAACGCCAGAATACACAGGCGAACCCAGCGACTATTGTTGAAGGGGAAAGAAATACCAAATGATGAAAAGCCTTGTCACATGGCATTACCACTGAGAGGTACCATATTCCGTAATTGTCTATAGTTTCCTGTAGAGATGAGAGAGAGGCCGGGATGATGGGGGTCTTTCACCTACAATGAAGGAGAGCTCCGCTTCTTTTCCGCGTCAGGATTGAAAAAAATGCAGGCTTTCAGGAGACGAAATAACCGAGTATGCGCGCAACGACTTTCCGCCGTCCGCACTCCGTATGCGGGTACTCGCGTCAGCCCCAGCACGCACGGTGGCTGGTGAAGAGGAGGTTTGCCGCGTCCGTGTGGGGGAGAGAGAGAGAGAGAGAGAGAGAGAGAGAGAGAGAGAGAGAGAGAGAGAGAGAGAGAGAGAGAGAGAGAGAGAGAGAGAGAGAGAGAGAGAGAGAGTGAGAGAAAAAAGAAGTGAGGAAAGGAGTGAAGGACAGAAAGGGGGAGGAGACCCGGGAGAGAGAAATAGAGAGAAAGAAGCAGCAACTATAAGCAGCAGCATCTGTCTGGGTTACCTTGTAGAACTAGAGACGAGATGTGCCCATCAGGGCTGGCAGGGGGTGCGGAGGTGTGCACCAGAGAGACAGACAGATGAAGAGAGTGGTAATCTGTCAACCTTAGCTCTGCAATGGGCACCGCGAGCAGCCATCGATCTGATATCCTTCTTTCACTTCAACATGAGCTGGGTGCGGGGGTGCCAGTCATGTGTTTAAGGTTATCTTGGTCATCAACTGAGCACTTAAAAAAATACATTAGTAACTGATGTCCATCACATTAAGCCTTTTACTGTGTGGTTTGAGGGGTCATTGTGCTTTCATTCTCCCTATATCTATTTTATTGTTAAAACTAGTCAAAGCAATTATTGGGAAAGAATGCTTAATGTGTCATAAATTATCCGGCATCTGTCCATCATATACATCCTCTCTCCATCCTGTCAAAACATATTTCCTTCTTCTGCAACTTTCCTCCCATCCCTTTGTCCATCTTTTCTATTCTCACCACCCGCTTTCATCCATGTATCCGTCCCTGCCTCCCTGAAGGATTGAAGGAGTCCCCAGGGTTCCTCTTAATCTGCCCTCGATTTTGGATTAGGGATTAGGAGTGTTGGGAGCCTCGGGCTACCATTGGATTGACTGTTTTGTACGCATTCAAGGAATAGGAGATTAAACTGACAGCGATACTGATGCTGTGAAAGCTGCTCTCACTTCTCCTATTTGAACTTATTGATTTAATATTAAATGTTTATATAACCACTCACTCATAAAAGGGAACATCTTTTGTGTAGTGAGAAAATAGAGATAGGAAGAAGCAAAGGGAATGTGCACACACAAACATTTTTGTAAAATAAGATAACATTATTTAATACCAAATGTTTGTGCATGCATCAAAATGAAATACTAACAAAAAGTGTAGAAAGGATTTACTACTGCGCTCTGGGAGACAGTATGTCATTTACGACTGAAAGGGTTATTTCTTGTTCCACTTGAGAACAGACATCAACACAAAAACACGTTTCTGTCTTTGTGTTCACCTTGATTAGATTTCTCAGTAAACCACTCAGTGTAGGACCTTTCTAGACCTCGGATTAATATGGATATGGAGTTACACATGTTATTCACATGCTGGGCACAAATGCACACATACTCCTCGACACTAATAACGTAACTTTTGCATATGTTGGCATGGCAGGAATATAACTTGGTTATAAAAACATTAAGAATGTTTGCATACGATGATATTACTAATTTTTCAAGAATCGATATAGAGGAGAGGGCATGACCTTCTATTAAATTGATCAGAGCTTTACGTCATGAATTAATCAGTGAACAATTGGATGTTACTGTTGCTTAAGAGATAACCTTGAGAAGCATCTCTGCAGCACAAAGTTCTTATCCATTTGGAAATCTTTTTTTTAAAGAAAGATGGATATTTTCCCCAGATGGACACTGGACATGCACTCAGACTTCTCTAAATATGTGTGTCGGCTGAAGATTGATCCTTAACTGCAATCCCTATCAGTGGTCTACTGGGAGATGAGGGGGATGAGGGGGATGTTGATACTTATGATTAAGTGTGTATGCTGTTAGCTCGCAATGATTATATGTTCACATTAAGTAGGTGGCATTGAAAGATATACTCAAACTGTATACTAGTTGTGTTGCTTTCAGCTTACAACCTCCAATGTAGGACAAAGTGAAATGTACTGACTTTTGATGGATCTGTACAATCTCAAAACTCACTGTAATGGGGAAAAATAATGTAGTGAATCTCTCATTACAGCAAGAGTATTGTCTACATACTGTATATGCTAATAGCCTTGTTATTTACCCCTATGTTCATCTCCTTTTGGACTGCAATTTACTTTCACAAAAATAATCTTTTAAGAATAAGATCTCACCTAGGACTCATCTTAAGAAACCAAGTGCTTCGTTTATACCATGGGTAAAACAAGTTGTACACTTTGTAAATGCCTTGCAGCAATGTTATACTTTTGTTTCTGTCTAGTATACTCTCACTGTTGGTGGAGACAAAGGATCCCAAGGGAAGAGAGATTTTGAGCATGCAATGTTGATAGCTGTAAACAAAATAAAAATGCAAAAATGGCTTTGCAAAAAAAACGGCCATTGACATAAAATGATATTGGGTAACTTGCAGTCACACAAATAGACAGTGAGTGTATGAAGCACAGATGCACACACACCGAGGTAAAGTGTCTCAAAGGTCTCGCTGTGTCCCTCACATAACATGAACTATAGTCTTTGTGTCATTATTTGGACAGTTCATTAACACTGTTGATGAGAAGAGAGAAAAAAAGTGAAGTAAAAAAAATATATATATATGTTGGTCTCTATGAATAGATTTAAAGACACATTTTGTTATTCCGCAACAAATGAATAATTAGCATTTTTATCTTTCGTTGCCCAGAGCAAATTTTTCCTTCAACTTTCTGACAATAAACATGTATATACAGAAATATAGTACCATGTCATTTTAGTATCACGTTATACTTAGTTCATATTCAACTTTTTAGGATGCTAGAAACGTGTAAGTGCTACATAATTATATAAGGCTTGCCTTCATTGATTCACTTAACTAATAATACATATTTGATTTATTTACCACTTGATTAAATTACAACAGTCTAGACTGCTATGTAACTTGTTATTTTCAACATCACATATGGAATTGGATTTCCCAGAAACGTATACTTTTACTTACCACCTTATTTGAATGTTTTTATCCACTAAATAAAATCCAATCAAAAATAAACATTTAAAAAGGTCTATAAGTGCCTCCTTTGTTCTTAAATGGCAGCTGCCCTTTCTCAGTGTAAGCTGGTAGAAGAGACACCTTGGAAGTGTTCAGGGCCGTGTAAGTGAGGTTTTCTCTGGGTGCTATAGAGGATATACATAAAAGCCTTTTGATGAGCTTACAGACCGAACGCTCTAGACAAACTGAGTGCGCAGGCAGACATGTGTATGCGCCTCAGAGAGAGACAAAGAGTGATTCAGGTGTGAGCTGGGTGGCTTGTTAGTATGCATGCCTATTGTCACTATAGCTCTCAAGGACATTGTCTGTCTTTTGTGGACATGGATGTGTGCGTGAAGTAATATGAGATATGTTGCACACTGAATAAAACAACTATGCTTCTCTTTCCATGTTGCCACAGAAGGTATTAAGTCCAGTCAAAAGATCACTGTGTCGGAAGTAAAACTTCCATAAATGTGTGTGTCTCTTTGTGCGGGAATGTATGTGTGTTATCTTGCTCATGCTTCCAAACAAAAGACCAGACAGCAATTATTAAGCCTGAGAGCCATCACACACTTTCAAAGCCAATAACAACCCACAGAGATGATTTATTCTCACACAGAAAACAACCAGACCAAAAATCAGCACACGCTGACATTTGTGTACCCTTAAAAAAAGGCTGTAGCATCCTGCAGTGTCTCTTTGTGGTTTGTTTGTTTGTTTTAACCATCAAAACGGTTGACATGTGTCAATTAAACAATAGAACATTCTGATTTGTTTGCAAATGTTTATTATTATCCCTTTTCCTTTTGTGTGCTGATGCAAACAAATACTTACAGTATTTATTTTAGCATTTTTCTATCTGTAACATAAGTCGTTTTTAGGGAATGTGCCGCTTGCATAGTTAAGAATTGGGCTACTAACAGGAGAGAGCCGTTTCTCCAAAGACAACAACGCAAGGCTATTTATCACCACCCCTTTCCAGTAATGCAATGAATTACCACTGTTCTGCTAATACCTAGATTGCCCTTCTTTTTTATTTATATTTTGTGTTTATCTAGCAATATTTTAGAGGTGTTTCACCTG